TCTTGTTCTTCTTCCTCCTCCAGTCCACCGTCTCTCCCTCACCCTCACGCTACCTGACTTCTCGCTATCTGACAGACTACGAGGGAGAAAGAGAGAGAGAGATTTGTGACTTCGAGATTTGACGGCATTTGGATTCCGACTTGACATTGGGACAGAGACATTGGATGGGGGGATTATTTGGGATCTATTTCGAAGACTTGGTGTTGACGGCGTCCCCATCCTTCCCTTCTTGTTCGTCTGATCCCCCTCCTCTTCATCTGTGTATGATCTGAGCCTGGCGCATTCCTCGTGTGTGTAGCGCCAGGCCCCTTAACACCTTGCGATGATGGTGATGTATGTTTGGTCTGCATTGCAACATTGATTTGTCTGATCATTGGTATTTTAGCCTTCCGCTGCGCTATCCTCTACTATGTGAGAGAGGTTGGTTCTTGTTCTGGTCGGCACCATTACAGTATGCGACAGTTTGGTATCGGTGCGGACCTCTCAATCAGAGGATCTGCCCAATCAAGGAGCCAGCTTGATTGATTGATTGATTGATTGATTGATTGTTTATTAGTTAATCAACCAGGGCTTCGTCAAATCTCAGCAAAAAAAATAAAAATTCGGGAATTCGGATATTACTATATTAGCATTTCGTTTTTTGTTTCACTCTGGGGATGTTAGGTGAACTAGGGAGGTTGTCATATTCTCGGAAACTGGATCTATTCTTCACTGAAAGTGGAACCTCCATTTTATTTCGCACAATTTTTTTTTTCAAGATCGCATTTTTTGAAAACGGAATTTTTGTGAAGCCTTGCCCATATCTTACTCATAGCACTCCTCCGTAAAAGCCTCACTGATAACCGATCGACAGATATTCAAAAAGAAAAAGAAAAAGGGGGAGGGGGGATCCTCTTCTTTTATTTTTTTATTTTTTATTTTGCTCTGTTGATTAGGACCGGGAATGGAAAGTGCAGTTACCTTCCTGCGTTTTCCCTCCCACCCAGCCCTTTATCTGCGTTTCCATTTTGGTAAGTGCCACATCAGCCGCAGTGCCACGTCAGTAGCAGTGCCACGTCAGCAGTACCGCAGCAGCAGTGACACGTCAGCAGTGCCCCGCCACCATGACAGTTTCAGTGTTGGGCATGCCAGGCCAACCGGCCAGCGAGTCTATTGCCGAGTTTCGACAGCGGATTCAAGATCAGCTCGCACAGATCGAAGCTGAGGAACAGCGCCAGGCGGCAGCCGAGGCTGCCCGCCTACAGGCTGAAGTGGAGGCAGCAGCTGAAAAGCAGCGGCTTCAGGCCGCAGCTGACGCAGATGCCCAGGCCCGCCACAAGCAGGCCCAAAATCTGCTCCAGCGGCACGAAGCCGCCAGCGTCGACAGGCTCAAGTTCTGGCACTTTGAACCATCCGAGGGCCACGACGACACAACACCGGAAGGAGTTCCTCTCCAAACTCGTGACCCAGTTGGTTTACACTTGTAAGCACCTGCAGTCTGAGTTAGAGAAACAACACCAAGAGCTGGGGAATCTCGACAGGCAGTGTGGAACCACAAGGATCTGCACGAGGACGCTACACGGGCACTTCATACCCGTGTACAAGACTTGGAGCAAGCAGCACCAAGACCAGATGTTGGCGAACCCAGCAATGCAGCCTTTACCCGCCAGTTGGAGCAACGAATTGACCATGTACTTGCGATGATCGGCGACATCAGCACTTTCGCCGCACCAGCCTCCATCAGCGAGCAGCTCGACGCCTTGAAGAACGAGGTTTGGCAACTACACCAGCCGCCCGACAACGATGGCAGCACCAATGCATCGCAGCAGTACAAGATGCCGACGTTCCGGATCGAAAAGTTTGATGACTATACGCATCAGGACTCGGTCACCTGGTGGCAGGGATTTACGACGGAGCTTCGGATTCATCAGGCCCCCGATCACTTGTACATCTCAGCGCTGTTCCTCAACGCCAAGGGCGGATGCCAGATTTGGCTCAGCCACATGGCAACCATTCACAACGTTTTGGGAAGATCTGACGAAGGAATGGAAGAAGCGGTTCATTGTTGACGGTGCCTCGACGCTCGCCATCAACCGCCTCTTCGCCATGACTGAAGGCAACACACCGACACGCGATTGGCTCACGGAATGGCAAAAGATCGTGGCAACACCCGATCTCGACTTGACATTTTCGCATCAGCGCCCTGAGTTCTACAACCGGTCGTGTGCCGCCTTGAGCCTCGCCCTCGGTGATCGCGAACAATACACGACCTTCACCGAAATCATCAACAAGGCTCGTGAGATCATTAAGACCAACCGGGCTACTGCACACGAGAAATCTGCGAGGCAGCCAACCTATGTGGAGAAATGAAAATTTGGTCCGCATCCGCAGCCAATCGCTGCAGTTCAATCGGACAACCTTGTGGAAGACCCGACAGCCACCCCAGCATCACGTGAGGGAGATCAGGTGGTCGTCGTCCAGCCGCGAAGCAACAACAACTCTCGAGGAAAAGGGAAGGCGTAAATAGCATCGCCGACCGGAAATGGACAGCCAGTACCATGGGTCAAGTTCAGCTTGAGTGAGGCCGAATACAAGTACTGCAGCCCATACGGCTGCAGCTATTGGTACAACAACACTAAACACAAGACCTCCCAATGCCAAGATCAAGGCAAGGAGGATGTTTGGCATCGAATCAGCTCGGGAAACTGAGCCGCGCGGGAGGTGAGGCGACTCCACCTCTCACTCCACCAGATTTGGTCGCCTTGCTAGTGGCCTCCTACACATCTGGGGAGAATGCGGATGTCGCAAGTCGTCGGTTCGCTTACGAGGATTACGCTGTCCACTTGGTCTCACGGTTGGACCAGCCACTTCACGTGCAAGACTACACCGCATGTTTCGTTTCATCACCATCGGCAACCGATTCGGCAGCTTCGCCGACAACTTTCGTCGGGGATTCGACGTCATGGTCAAGACTTGAGAAACTCGACCCTTTGAAGTTTGCGGACTTCCAATGGATGCCCCGTCTCCCGACCGGTCGATTGCCGAAACCGCATTGCAACGCGCTCAGGGCACAATTCAGGGATTACTTGCACACTGCAGTACCAGCTCCGTTGATGGACGTCGAAGTAGGGGTTGTTGACCTTCGCGACTACCTTGCAAAGATCGACTGTGAGTTCAAGACAACGGTACGACAACAACGATGCGCCATTGTTGTAGATACGCATTCAGATCGGAGAAGCGACCTGCAACGCTTTGATCGATTGCGAAACTACTTGCAACTATATGAGCCAGATTTTCTGGTACGTGCTGGCCTGGGGCCACGCGTTCGAAGGAAGTCGCAGCCCACGCAAGTCACGTTAGCCGACGGTCACACTCACAAGTCAATCGACCGGTGCATTGATTCCGTCCTCGTGTACTTCGCCCCGCATGCAAGCGAGGTTGTGTCCTTCGACATTCTTGACACCAAGTTCGACATGATTTTGGGCATGTCTTGGCTGAAAAGCGAGGATCACCCGGTGAACTTCTACCACCGCACCGTTCAAATTCGGGATTGGAACAGAGCACTAGTTTTCGTGCACGGTGTCTCCACCTCACCCCTCGATCAGCTGTCACGTGGTGTCCGCCGCGAGTATTCGAGCTTCCATCACCCGAGACGACATAGAGGAGATGGATGTGTGTTTTCTCCACATCCTCCCCATGACATCCCATCAACAGACACATTGACTGACTCACGCATCAGCGAGCTTCTAGACGCATACGGTGACATTTTCGAAGCCCCGCATGGAGTAGTACCGGATCAGCCAATCCACCACGAGATCATAATCGAGGCCGGGGCTGTACCTCCACGTGGTTGTATCTACCGCATGAGCGAGGAAGATTTAAGTGTGCTACGGGCACAACTCGACGACCTTCTTAAGAAAGGTTGGATTCGGCCTAGCTCTTCGCCATACGACACTCCCCTTCTCTTCGTCCGGAAGAAGAACAAGGATTTGCGGTTGTGCATCGGTTATCGCAAGTTCAACGTGCAAACCGTTAAGAACGCCGACCCTCTTTCGCGCATCGACGACCTCCTTGAATGGTTGGGCGGAGCAAAATTTTTCTCCAAGCTTGACCTCAAATCGCGATATCACCAACTTGAGATCCGGCGGGAAAACCGCTACAAGACCGCGTTCAAGATTTGATATGGGCATTTCGAATGGCTGGTCATGCCTTTTGGCCTTAGGAATGCCCGGGCCACATTCCAAGCGGCTATGACGACGGAGTTCCGACACATGCTGGACAAATTTGTACTCATCTACCTCGACGATATCTTGGTGTACAACCAGAGTTTGGGCGAGCATGTGGAGCACCTGCGTTGGAACGGCTATGACAAACCAAATACAAAGCCAACCATGTCAAATGTGAATTCGCACGACAGGAGCTCGAATACTTGGGCCATTATGTGACGCCACAAGGCATCCCTCCGCTCACGGACAAGATTAAAGTCATCCGCATATGGCCCGAGCCCACCAACACCACGGGTGTTCGCTCATTCATGGGTTTGGCAGGCTACTACCAACGCTTCATCACCGGGTACTCACGGATTGCCACACCATTGATGAGATTACAATCGCCAAAGGTGCCATTCAAATTCGACGACGAAGCGCGCCGGTCATTCCAAGCACTCAAGATGGCCATGCTCATGTCACCCGTCCTTTGCATCTACGCCCCCACCTTGCCAAGGAGAGTGACAACCGACGCCTCCGGCTATGGTATTGGGGCAGTCTTGGAACAACACGACGGCGACGACTGACATCCCGTGGAGTACTTCAGCCACAAGGTGCCTCCCATCAAGTCACTTGATGATGCAAGGAAGGAGTTGCTCGCATTCGTGATGGCTCTCAAGGGATGGCGACACGTCCTCCTTGGGCGTCGTAGGTTCACATGAGTCACTGATAAACGCATTGACCTACTACAAGACGCAAGACACGGTGAGCAGCACTATCGGACGATGGATGTATTTCATCGACCAATTTGACTTCACACCGAAACATCTTGTCGACCTCTCCAATCGTGCAGTAGATGCACTCTCACGAAGACCCGATCTTTGCGCTATGACACATCATGCCTTCGCATTCGAGGAGAAACTTCAGCGACATTTCATTCGGGGCTACCAGTCCGACCTGGATTTCGCCACGCTATTATCGCTATATGCGCAAGTATCTTCAGATCACCCGCCGGCCAACAATTATCGCATCGTCGACGTTTATTTGCTTCTCCACTTGCAAGGCAAGGACTTACTATGCGTCCCACGAGACTGTCGTCTTCGGACTCGCCTTCTCGGCGAGTACCATGACTCGCGACTCGCCGGCCATTTCGGAGTCAATCGAACTATCGCACGACATCGGCAACGATTCCGGTGGCTCGACATCATCACCGATGTCACTCGGCATTGCGACTCTTGCAAAGTTTGCCGAGGAAGCAAGCCCCGCAACCGCAATCCCTATGGCGAGTTGCGCCCATTGCCTATCCTGCGGGAACCCGACCTCTCCATTGCTATGGACATCACCGACCCATTTCCCCGCGACCGCCTCAGGCACGACGACATCCTCACGGTCGTTGACCGATTGAGTAAATACGTGCGATTTCTCCCTTGCAAGTACTACTCCACGGCTCCTGAACGTGCACGCCTCTTGCACACCGGCTGGTTTTGCAGCCACGGCGTACCGGAAGACATCGTTAGCGACCGCGACACTCGGTTCATGTCGGCATTTTGGACTTCTCTCATGAAGGAGTCGGGCACCGAAATGAAACCAAGTTCGGCTTGGCACCCACAAACGGACGGGCAAACGGAGAGAGCACATCAGACTGCTCAAATGATGCTTTGTACGCTCATCTGTCCGAATCAGAAGGATTGGGTTGACCGCTTCCCCGACATCGAGTTCGCCTACAACACTTCGTTGCATCCAGCGATAGGCGTGACTCCATTCGAGTTGCACCACGGTGGCCGGAAAGATTGTATCTTCACTGATCTTCTCCTCCCACGAACTACCGACATAGACGCCGGTTCCTTTCCCGCTTCCGACCGGAAGTACTGGGAATTGTTGACTCAAGCCCGTGCGAACATCCACAAGGCTCAAGTCCGCATGTAGCAGCAAGCCAACAGGCGCCGCATGCCATGTCCCATCTGCACCGGCGATCTGGTTTGGGTCTCCGCAGAAGAGTTTGCGCTCGAACAAGATGTTTCACGCAAGCTACTCCCCAAGTGGTTTGGACTATGGATCGTCCTTTCAGCCGCAGGCAACAAGCCCGACGGCCCATCCTTTGTGATCGACATCCCTCCTCATCTGCCGGTTCATCCAGTCTTTCAAACCTCGAAGCTGGCAACATATTCGGACCGACGATCGCAGGACCCTCCCTCCATGGATGGTCATCTGGAGATCGATCGCGTCGTCACGCACCGCAAGTACGGCAACAAGCTGATGCAATACAAGGTCTCATTCAAATGGTGCAACCACGACGACTGAAGATGGATTTCACGAGCAGATTTCCAATCATCTGCGCGGCTGATCTATGTGGACTACGAGCGATGAAGAATAGCTAAGGAAGCTTCACATCGTGCCCCTCCCACCAGGACTTTGGTCCCGCCCTCCGACAGGCAGCTTCGCCCTCATAGGTAAGCTCGGCCTTTCAAGGAGGGGGGGGTGTGGCATACTGCGCACCACACGGGCCTTCAGGGCCCGAGCAGGCAGAACAAGGGATAAGTAAGGGCCCTCCAGGCCGTGTGTCGTTTCAGCCTAAAAACCTTTCCTGAAAATTAGGCGCCAGACCAGGGATAAGCGCAGGCCATTTTTAGGCCCGTTTCAAGACAACCTTTTTTTGAACTTCGGCGCCAGGTTCTGACACGATTTGGCATTGGCAATAGCAGCCTCCCAGCCGGACCAGCACTATATAGTGTTGGTCCGCCCAGGAGGGTACAGGCAGGGCAGGAGGCAGTCTTCAGACATTCGGCAGCAGCACTCTTGGGAGCGCTGCAGTAGTAGTAGAGTACGATAGGAGTAGTCTTCAGCGCTGGGCGCTGCTAGGACCTTAGAGTAGCGTTAGAGAGAGAGGAGAGTGGCGGAGGCCAGGGAGACTTACCTGGGAGCTTACCTGTGACACCATCGCTCCAGCTTCATCTTCGATGTACCTGCAACAAGGTGCCACCTTCCACAGGTTAGTACGTGGAACTGAGAGAGAGAGGGAGAGAGTTCTTCTTCTTCTTCCTCCTCCAGTCCACCATCTCTCCCTCACCCTCTTGCTACCTGACTTCTCGCTATCTGACAGACTACGAGGGAGAAAGAGAGAGAGAGATTTGTGACTTCGAGATTTGTGACTTCGAGATTTGACTACATTTGGATTCCGACTCGACATTGGGACAATAACATTGGATGGGGGGATCATTTGGGATCTATATCGAAGACTTGGTGTTGACGACGTCCCCATCCTTCCCTTCTTCTTCATCTGATCCCCCTCCTCTTCATCTGTGTATGATCTGAGCCTGGTGCATTCCTCGTGTGTGTAGCGCCAGGCCCCTGCACACCTTTGGCATTTTCCCGCACCCGTTTGCTGCGAAAAATATAGTTGCAGACCAACTGGCGCATGAAAGTTGGTACACCCTAAACTGGATAAATACGGACCTGAGTTCGAACTTTGATGGAAGCAAATGAGTACAACCGGTGAGTTCGATGGTGATGTCTCAAGCCCGTTGCCCTTTAAAAAAAAAGTTATACGCGAACAAGTCCGACCATAAAGCAGGTGTGTGCTTGCTTCACGAGAGAGAGAGAGAGAGAGAGAGAGAGAGAGAGAGAGAGAGAGAGAGAGAGAGAGAGAGAGAGAGAGAGAGAGAGAGAGAGAGAGAGA